TGACCTTGACTGGGAAACCACCTACTCTGAGCCTGCATGAGTCCACACACAAAATCTGGGGGCATCCACTGCTTCTCTCTTTCCCTCAGGAGTTCTTCAGTGAGTGTGGCAGGTAGCTTCTCCCCTATATCTAGTGGAAAAGGAGGAGCATTTCTCCTTACAAAAACAGAAATGCTATGACTGACCCAGAACCTTGGGCAATATCAGCCTCCAAAGCCAAATGGACAGACTATTTCTGGATGCTGATCTGCCCTGGGATAAATAATTTGATTCTCCCTATAGCTGAGATTATGACTGAGCCTATCTCTGGAATTAGAAGTGAAGGAAGTTTGATGTGGTGTCTCTGCTTCCTGTTGTGGCTGTGGCTGGTTTGTTTCCTGCTAGCCTTCTTCTCAGCTGAGAAAAATAGAGTGAGCAGAATATATTTTGGAAGAAAAGTTAAGATTGGAAAGCACTCCAGGCATTCTTGACGGAGTTCAGGACTCATAGGCAGTGTGTGAAATGAGCTGGCCCAGAGTCAGAGCTCTGAGAAAGTGCTGCGTTTGTCGTTTTGGGATTTTGCACACAAACCTTGCTGGCCCTTGCAGTGGAGCACGGAGGATCTTGGCTAGGCAGGGAACCAGCTGGAAAACTTGGGCTGGGACACAGCGGGGTGGGCGGGCCTGGGCAATGACCAATTCCCATCCTCCAAGGCAGGCGGGAACTTCGTGTGGGTGGCCTGTACTTAGTATCAGCGTGCAGCAAGCCCTGGGGTGGGAAGGGGGGCTTCTGTGGAAAGAAGCAGCCCCCAGGCCATGTGAAAATGGGCAATTACATCCCATTGGCTATTGGTGGGGCTTTGCTCCAAGCCACTGAGGGAGAGCAGCTCCTGGAGATGGCAGTGGGACAGTAGCCCAATCAACCCTGCCATAGGGACTGAGCTAGAAGGCCCCCCACTGCCAAGCCTGCACCCTCACCTCTCTCCTAATCCCTCTGAACCTCAACCTTCCTATCCATTAAATAGGTGTGATAATGCTTGCAGTCCCTGGGTGGTGCAATTTGTTAATTGACTACTAATAGTAAAGGTTGGAGGTTTGAGTCCACCCAGAGGTACTTCAAAAGAAAGGCCTGGAAATCTACTCCCAAAAGTCAGCCACTGAAAATTCTACAGAGTACAGTTCTCTCTGACACACATGGGGCTTTAATAGTGCCTACCTGATAGGATTACTGCAAAGACTAGAAAGAAGGATTACTGCAAAGACTAGAAAGAAAAAAAGGAGCTGACCTAAGTTACTTTGGAAAATAATATTTTGGTTAAAAAGTCAGCAGTTCAAACCTACCAGCAGCTCCATGGAAGGAAGATGGGGTGATCTACTTCCTTAAAGATTTACAGCCTTGGAAACCCAAAGGGTTTCCAACTTATAGGTGGAATTGACTCAATGGCAGTGAACTTGGTTTGTTTTTGGTTTGAACATAAATAGTGTTTTCTAGTTGGTAAAGTTGTTTCCTATGGGGATATGGGTGAACAATTTTGAAACTGCTGTAAATGAATTCTGGTACTGAGCACATAAATAAATGGATGGTGAGAGCCATCTTCCCAAGTTGTCCACAGTGCTTGCCTGGCCCTCAGGTCTCCCTGATTGGGCCAAGTAATGGGCCCTACAGCAGACTTTGGGGAATGAGCTGTTTCACTAGAAAATATTTAAACATTAAAAAAAAAAAAAAAAGTTTGTCTTGGCAGCTGTTCCAGTTACTATGCATGTGTGATAAATTACCTCAAAACTTAGTGGTGTAAAAACACCTTTTCCTATACTCACAGTTTCTGTAGATCAGGCATTCATTCAGGGAACATCAGGGATGGCTTGTCTCTGCTTCATGATGTCTGAGACTCAACTGGAAGACTCAAGGGCTGGGAGCTGGGATCATCTGAAGGCTCATCCACTCATATGTCTGGTCGGGTCTGACAGATCTTTGCTGGAGGTGTTTGCTGGAACAGCTATGGGTGGATCCTCCGTGTTGCCTGGGCTTTCCTCACAATATGATAACTGGGTCCAAAGGAGAGAGTTGTAAAAGAGAAAAACAGAGAGAGAGAGAGAGAGAGAGAGAGAGAGATCAAGCACCTAGAGAAAGTTATGTCTTTTATGAGCTACCATTGAAAGCCATGAAGTATCATTTCCTCTGCATTCTGTTGGTTGAGGCAGTTACAAAAGTCTCCCCAGACTCACCTCCACCCTTTCAATGGAGGAGTGACATCACATTGTAAGAAGAGCATGTGGAATGAACTATATACATTGGTGCCACCATCTTTGGAAAATACAACCTATCCCAAATCAGTGGGCTTCAAGTGGACTCCAACTCATGGCAACCCCATGTGTATAAGAGTAGAACCACGTCCCAAGTTATTTTTAATGGAAGATTTTTTGGAAGTAGATCTCCAGGCCAGTTTTCTGAGGCATTTCAGGGTTGGTTTAAACCTTCAGCCTTAACAACCAAGCACATTAAACATTTGTGCCACCCAATGATTCCCACAATCTACCCAGCTCAACCTAATGCTTCTCCTCTTCACAATTTACTGTCAGCAACAAGGAGAAACCAGGCTGCGTCTTTACCACTTTGCTTGGAGATCTCCTAAGCTAAATATCTAAATTCACTGCTTACAATTCTGTCTTCATTCAACTAAAGAACACAATTTAGCCAAGTTTTCTGCCACTTTTCCTCCAGTGTCCAGTAGTATGTTCCTCATTTCCATCTGAGGCCTCACCAGAAGCATCTTTAATGTTTATATTACTAGCAATATTCTTTTCATAACAATATATATATTCTCTAAGACTGTATAAACTTTCTCTACTGTGCTCCTCACTTCATCTGAGTCTTCACCAGAATTGCCTTTAATGTTCATATTTCTACCAATTGTCTCTTTAAGGCAATCCAGGGTTTTTCTATTGGGCACTTCAAAATTATTCCAGCTTCTACCCATTTGCCAAATTCCAAAGCCACTTTCACGTTTTTAGGTACTTGTTACAGCAGCACCCCACTTCCCAGTACCAAAATATGTTGTTTCCTGTATCTGTACCACAAACTTGGTGGCTTAAAGTAGAAATTTATTCTTTCAAAGTTCTGGAAACCAGTAGCCTGAAAATAAGATGTTGGTAGGGCCTTGCCACCTCCAAAGTCTCTAGGAAAATAATCTTTATTAGTTCTTTTCATCTTTTGGTGTCTTGGAAGTACTTGACTTGTCGCAGTATCACTTCAATCTCTGCCTTTCTTTTCACATGGTTATCTTCCTTGGAGGCTGTGTGGCTTCACTTTTTCTAATAAGGACACTAGTCATTGGATTTAAGGCCCACCCTAAATCCTGTATGATATCATCTTAAGATCATTAACTCTGTTACATCTCACAGACCTTATGTCTTAGTTCTCTAGTGCTGCTATAACACAAATACCACAAGTGGGTGACTTTAACAAACAGGAATTTATTCTCTTATAGTTGAGGAGGCTAGAAGTCCAAAGAGTGCCATCTCTAGGGGCTGGGTGAAGGCCCCTCTACCTTGGGCTTCAGCTCTGTCTATTGTTTCAGGCCCACTAGAGCGAAATACTTCTTGTAACTCACACCGCTGCTGGCCACTGAGGCTAATGAACCCAAGATCAGTAGGTAAAATGGCACAGTCCCAACATTAGCAGGCAACGTGGCAGGCTACTGGTTCAAGCCCAGGAAAAATTCCAAGATCGGCAGGTGACGGCTCAAAATGTCCTCAAAAGCTAGAGACTTTTCTCAAAGATGCTCCATATATATTGGAAGCAAGCCACACTCTAAAGGCAAATTAGGTGGTTACAGAAGATTCCACCATGAAGGGAATTATAGTCTGATCATAGGGAATAACTACATCTGGCTGCCAAGCCACTCAAAACCATGGTCCAGCTAAGTTGATATACCATCTTAACTAGCATACCTTACTTCCAAATAAGATCAAATTCACAAGTAATAGGGGTTAGGACTTGGACATATATTTTTAGGGGATACTAGATGGTGTAATCCCTAAGGCATATGACTGCTAACCAGAAGGCTGGCTGTTGAAACACACCAGCCACTCCTCAGAAGGAAGACTGGGCAACCTACTTCCATAGAGATACTGCCTTGGATACCCAGGGAGCAGTCACTATGAGTCGAAACCGAATCAATGGAAGTGAGTTTGTTTTTTTTTTTTTTTTTGGTAGTTAGCATACTATACCCACTATTTCCATTGTATAAATTAGGTTCATTTTGAGTATACGTATGTTGTTGTTGTTAATGTTATGTGCCATCGAGTTGGACCTGACTCACAGCGACCCCTTCTTGGGTTTCTGAGGTGGTATCACTACAAAAGTAGATTGCCCAACCTTCCTGCCAAAGAGTGGCTGGTGGGTTTGAACCACCAGCCTTCTGGTTAGCAGTCAAATGCCTTAGGCACTATACTACCAGAACTCCTGAGTATATGTGTGTGCGTGGTTAAGTGAGTCTGTGTATGAGTTTGTGTATATGTGTGTGTCTATGTGAATATGAGAGTATATGTTTATATATGTGTGCATATGTGTGTGTTTATATGTTTGTGTTTATGTGAATTAAAATGGATGTTTATATTAAGTATCTTTTTATGCATGCTTATGTGTATGTGTGTGTCTATGTGCATTTATGTGTATGTGTGTCTGAGTGATTACATATGTGTGTATCTGTGTGTGTCTGTGCAAGTATATGTATGGGTAAGAATCTATGTGTATAAGGCTCTATGTGTGAGTTTATGTGTGAGTGTGCATGTGTGTGTTTATAAATGTGTGCCTGTATGTTTTGTGCTTGCATATGTGTCTTACCATATACAAAGTGCAAGGGGAAGATGAGATCATAGTGGGAAGCCTCTCCTGGCATCCTGGCAGGGCCTCTCTGTCTTTGCCATGGGTCACAGAACTGGTCAGCGTCACTGATGAGGTCATAGAATAAAGCCAGGATCCTAGTAACCATGGGGAGCCCAGTAGTCATTCAGGCTGGGGCCAGCTGGAGGGCTTCAGCACAGCCCAAGCAACCTCTCGCCAAACAGCTGAAGCACTACTGAGAACCCTGGGTGCAGTTTCAAATCATGAAACGCCACTTCAAGGACCACACAGGAGAGAAGTCACCACCAGATGGGGCCACTCTCAGCTTGGTCAGCCCAGAATCTACTGATGAAAGTGTGGAACTGTGTTGGCCAGGTGAGTCAAAGGGAAGGACTTCAGGGGGCAGTCAAGAGTGAGGACCTGGTGGGAGAGCTGCTCAGAAACCTCGGTGCTGCTACTGAGGTGTTACATTGCCCATAAAAAGAGATAATGGGGCAAAGGAAATTGGTAGCAATGGGATGTTTGATATGACCTAGGCTATTCTGAGTATATACGGTGATTTCAGAAGGCATGTAAAATATTAACAATTATATATTTAGATTATGCATGTATTAGGGGAAGATAAAAAGAACTAACATGCCAATCTAGTTCTTTCAGTAGTGATATAAAATTTCCTTTAAAACAAATTTAGTAAAGCTAAACTAGTACATCAATGTGAAGGTCTGTAGGAAGGAACCTACTTATGGGTAACAGCCCTTAAGGGCAACACTCACTCTCAAGGCCAAGGACCAGGGACAAGCTCTGTTTCTACCAGGTACTTAACTTATGCCTCAGCTTTTTAATCTGCCCAAATGGGAAAAATAGCAATCCAATTTCTTAGTGTTGTTTTAAACATCGAGTTAAAACATGGAGACTGGGGCACAATGAGTGCTTTATGGGGGTTATAATTTACATACAAAAACTTCACCAATTTTAACTGCACAATTTGATGACTTTTAACAGAGGTATACCATCATATAACCATTACATGCATTTATAAGAATATTTCTGTCAGCCCCCAACAGTTTCCTCATGCCTTTTTGTGGTCAATGCCTTGTCTGCTCCTAGCTCTAGACACTACTGATCTATTATCTATCCCTACAGTTTTACCATTTCTATAATGTCACATAAATGGGACATATACAGGTAGTTTTCCACTTAAGATGGGGTTCCATTCCCAATAACTCTGTTGTAAGTCAGTTCTGATAATAAGTCAAATACTTCTTTTTTTTCTCTCATTATTATTGCCTTTTATTATCAGTATCTTTATAAATCCATTCTTTGTCTTTGGGGGTTGGAAGCATTACATATAAACTTACAGATATATTTTAAGGTTGTATGTAGTACATATTAAGGAGATCTGGTGGTGTAGTGGGTAAGACATTTGGCTGCTAACCAGAAGGTCAGAAGTTCAAACCCACCAGCTCCTCTGTGGGAGGAAGATGAGGCAACCTACTTCTGTAAAGATTTACAGCCTGAAAATGCAATGGGGCTCACTATGAATCAGAATTGACTTGATGACAGTGGGTTTCGGGTTATATAGTACACATTACTAATGATAAAATGTTCATAATAGTAATAATAATAAAATATATTCTTAAGTGTAGTACAGTGTAATTCAAATGCATTGTAAGGCAGGGACTACCTGTACTATGAAACCTTTAAAAATCTGGCTTCTTCTTTCATTTAGCACAATGCATGTGAGATCCTGCCATATTGTAGGATGCATCAGTATCAGTGCTACAGTGATAAAACCCTTGGCTGCTAACCTAAAGATTGATGTTTAAACCCAATAGCTGCTTCCTGGCTCCATGTATTGTGACCCTGTATGTGTCCATAGGGCTTTCAATGGCCAATTTTTCAGAAGTAGATCCCTAGGCCTTTCCTCAGAGGTGCCTCTAGGTGGACTCAAACCCCCAACCTTTCAGTTAGCCGCCAAACACTTTAACTGTTTGTACCACCTAAAGATTTCTTTTGGTGGTTACTTTGATCCTTATAATTATCCTGTGAGGAAAGCACCATTGTTATTATTGTGGTTGTTAGGTGCTGTCAAGTTAGCTATGAGTCATAACAACCCTGTGTACAGTAGAACGAAACACTGCATAGTCCTGTGCCATCCCCACAATCTTTGCTATGCTTGAGTCTCTTGTAGCCACTGTTAATCCATCTCATTGAGAGTCTTCCCCTTTTACTGACCCTCTACTTTACAAAGCATGATGTCCTTCTCCAGGGAATGGTCCCTTCCGACAGCATGACAAAAAGTAAATAAGATGAAATCTGGCCATTCTCGCTTTGAAGCAGCATTCTGGCTGCACTTCTTACAGGACAGATTTGTTTGTTTTTCTGACAGCCCAAGGTATTTTCAGAATTCTTCACCAACACCACACACAATTCAAAGATAGCAGCTCTTCTTGTTGTTCTTGTTGTTATGTGTTGTCAAGTTGGACCTGACTCATAGCAACCCCTTGGGTTTCCGAGGCAGTATCACTACTGAAGTAGATTGCCCAACCTTCCTTCCTAGGTGCGGCTGGTGGGTTTGAACTGCTAGCCTTGGCCGTGGCAGGTTTGCCCAGCTTTCATATGAAGATGAGGCAACTGAAAACACTATGGTTTGAGTTAAGTGCACCTTAGTCTTCAAAGGCACATCTTTGCTTCTTAACACTTTAAAGAGGTCATTTGCAGCAGATTTGTCCAGTGCAATAAAATGTCTGATTTTTTTTTTCCCCCTCATAAAGAACAAGGTCAAAGAGTGGTGTTAACAGCCCCAGAGCTCCTGAAGCCTATACCCTTTTGTGGTCCTTGGCTCCAAAAGAAGAAAGGAAAATTAGATGGTAGCCATTGTTCCCTTCTGCACACTGATGAAAATGTCCTTTGCTTTTCAGGGGCCGTGAAGAGGGAGGAGTCCCCTCCTCAGCTGGATCCTGATGTTCCCCACAAGGAGGACCTCTATTTCTCCTCCAGGGGTCCGGGGGTGCTGAGCTGGAGAAGCTCCCCCTCATCCCAGTCCTCCTCTGAATACCAGTCCTATTCCCAATACAAGTCTTGCTACTCAAGCATGTGCAACCAGGAGGACGGGGCCCAGCAGAGCGTGTGTGCCTTCTATACTCATGTGCAAACTGTGCGAGGCGTGGCTGTGGCCTGGGAGACCGAGGCTGGCTTTGAGCCAGTCAGCAGGAAACCTCGCATTCATGAAGCCGAATTCATCAAGAGGCAGAGGCAGAAAGGATCCTCCTTTGAGATGGCTTCCAACACTGACCTGCGCTGGGACTTGGAAGCCAGCAAGAACTGCTGCCCGGAGCCAGATGACTCCGAGCTGCTGGGGCCATTAGATGGTTGCCTGCAGGAGCTGCGGGAACCCCCAGAGTGGCTGGTCACCACAAACTATGGGCTGCGCTGTGTGGCCTGCTGCCGTGTCTTCCCCACCCTGGAGGTGCTGCTGGAGCACGCCCAATATGGCATCAGAGAGGGCTTCAGCTGCCAGATATTTTTTGAGGAGATGCTGGAGAGAAGACGGGCCCGGGATCAAGGCCAGGACAACCAGGGGGATGGGGAGGGGGAGGGGGAGGAACGGGACCCTTCAGACAGCAGTGAATGTTCTAGGCCCCACAACCCGATGTCTCCGCCACAGCAGAAGAAGCAGTAAGCTGGAGGTGATGTGCTCAGCTCTGCCCCCTCCTCCAGCACTTCAGTTTCTCCTTACCCCAGCAGAGTGCAAGAGCCACCAGGGCAGGGAGAGAGGCCCCCAAAGATGTGTGGCAAGACAGTGGGGTGCAGAGCAGGAAGCATCCTCAGAGAAGAGGATGAAGGAACCCTTCCACAGGGCACACCATCTCAACCAAAGTCCATTCCAAAATCTTAATCCAAAGAACAGGGCTTGGAGTTCTCCAGTGGTGGTCATCAGATCTGGAATCCACAAGTGGGCAGCCACATGGATGTTTATTTTTGCAGGAGATGGAGAGAGTCCATACTTGGTGGATAAGCAGCAGGACTTGAAGGAAAGCCAATCGCACAGAAAGCTTAAGCCCTATTTCATTTATTATTGGGAATCCTTTGTAATGCCCTGGTTGTATGTGTTAGTGGGATTAAACTGGAATAACTCAAAATTTAAGGCAATGGCTAATTGAATTAACCATATTAAGAGATTGCACTTGTATGGTATTGCTGTTTCTGTAGGTCACAAAAGAATGAGACTTGGAGACAGGCAACTTTTCAAAAGTAGAGATGGGAGCTGGACAAGTCCTACTGATCTATGAGTTTGTGTATGCCAACTAAGGTTTAAAAGGTTCTTATAAAATGCCTCTTTACCCTCGAACTTCACTCCAGCTCAGGGAGCTGCACCATTCAATAAAAAACATGGAGATATTCTTTGTGTTAGACACTCTACACTCAGTTGGTTTCAGTGAGAGACAACCAGAACATGCTGTTGCAAGGTGAGGGGATAAATCATATAAGGGTCATCTGTGGAGCCCAGAGAAGAAGTTGTTCACTCAGGCTCTCTAAAAGGGATGATGCTTACATAGGACTTGAAGTACTGGTAGAATTAGCTAGATCAAAGTTTCTCAACTCTGGCACTACTGACATTTTGAATTGAATGGTTCTTTGTTGTAAGGGGCTATCCTGTTCATTGTAGGATGCTTAGCAGCACATCTGGCCTCTACCCATTACATGCCAGTAGCATCTTTCCCTTCAGTTGCCGCAACCAATAATGTCTTCAGACATTAACAAATGTCTCTGGAGGGGGGGCGGTGCAGGGGAGGAGGTGTGCACAGAATCACCCATGGTTGAAGGCTACTGAGCTAGACAAAATTGAGAGTCTCAGAGAAGGAAGTGTCTGTGGAGTTGCCAGCCACTTGATCTAGCTGGAATGATGAAGATATTTGTCTCCTCATACACACAATATTTAGCACCTACTATATGCCAGGCACTGTGCTAGGCATGGAGGACAAAAAGTGAGGACAGCAGACCCGGATGCTACTCTGTGGTGCTTATGGCCCCTTGGTGAAAATACTTGAGTTAATTTTGACTCATAGTTATCCTATAGGAGAGAGAACTGTCCCATAGGCTTTCCAAGGCTGTTAATCACCACAGAAGCAGACTGCCACATCTTTCTCCTGCAGAGGGTTTTAACCAACCTTTTGGTTAGTAGCTGGTCACCTAACCACTATGCCCCCAGAGCTCCTGGTTGGAAATAGAATATATGTGTATATACGTGTATATATAGTTTGAGTGCCTCAATGAAAAATAATTGAAATTAAAGATAATTGCAAAAGAACAAACCCTGCTTCATGACCTGCAGGGTGCAGAATGGTCCTGCCTCTGCTAACTCCTCCTTCATCACCTGTTAGTGTTCCCTGCTTCCTTCACTATGGTCTGGTTACAGTGGCTTTCCTTCTTTCCTTACATACTCTAAGCTCTTTCATACTTCAGGGCCTTTGTACTTCCTCTTAGTGGAACAAACTCAACCTTTCTCTTTCACTTTTCTGGCTGATCCTTATGTATCTCTGAGGTTTCAGTATAAATGCCACTTTTTCAACTAGAACTTTCTGAACCACATTGCTTTAGCATACACATCATTCTAAATGTAGCTTGTTTTAGGAAAAGAAGTGACATGATCAGATTTTTACAAAATCAGAGGGTTTCCGATCTACAGAAGTAGATTGCCCAACCTTCCTTTTGAGGAGTGGCTCGTGGGTTTGAACTGCCAGCCTTCTGGTTAGCAGTCAAATGCCTTAGGCACTATGCCACCAGAGCTCCCACCTTCCACTTTATCAAGCATGATATCCATCAATGGTCTTTTCTTACAACATGACCAAAGTAAGTGAGGTGAAGTCTGACCATTCTCACTTCCAAGGAACGTTCCAGCTGCACTTCTTCCAGTACAGATTTGTTAATTCTTTTAGCAGTCCATGGTATTTTCAGCATTCTTCCAGCACCATAACTCAAAAGCATTGACTCTTCTTTGGTTTTCCTTATTCATTGTCCAGCTCTCACATGCATATGAGGCGACTGAAAATATTACGGCTTGTGTCAGGTGCACTTAGTCCTCAAGGAGATATCTTTGCTCTTCAGTACTTAAAAGAGGTCTTTTGCAGCTGATTTGCCCAGTGCTTGCTATACGTTGTCTGATATCTTGACTGCTGCTTCCATTAGTGTTGATTGTAGAACCAAGTAATATGAAGTCTTTGACAACTTCAATCTTTTCTCCATTTATTGTGATGCTGCTTATTGATCCATTTGTGAGGATTTTTGTTGTCTTTATATTGAGGTGTCATCCATACTGCAGTCTGTGTTCTTCAATTTTCATCAGTAATTATTTCAAGTCATCCTTACTCTTGGCAAGCAAAGTTGTGTTGTCAGTGTATCACAGGTTGTTAAATGATTCTTCCTCCAAACATGATGCCATGTTCTTCTTCATATAGTCCAGCTTCTCAGATTATGTGCTAGCATAGAGGTTGAATATGTATGGTGAAAGGATACAGCCCTGGCACACTCCCTTCTTGATTTTAAACCATGCAGTATCCCCTTTTTCTGTTCGAATGACAGCCTCCTGGTCTATAGACAGGTTCCTCATGAGAACAATTAAATGTTCTGGAATTCTCATTCTTCTCAATATTACTCACAATTGGTTATGATCCACACAATCGAATGCTTTTGCATCACCAATAAAACACAAGTAAACATTTTTCTTGTATTCTTTGGTTTGAGCCAAGATCCATCTGACATCAGCAATGATATCAGTCATTCCATGTCCTCTTCTACATCCAGCTTGCATTTCTGGAAGTTCTCTGTCAATATACTGCTGCAACCATTTTTGAATTATCTTCCGTAAGATTTTACTTGCATGTGATATTAATATTATTTGATAATTTCCACATTCTGTGGGATCAATTTTCATTAGAATGGATACAAATATGGAACTTTTCCAGTTAGTTGGCCAGGTAGCTGTCTTCCAAATCTCCTGGCATAGCCAATTCAGTGCCTCCAATGCGGCATCCATCTTTTGAAACAGCTCAATGGGTATCCCATTAATTCCTGGAGCCTTATTTTTTTACCACTTCCTTAAGTGCAGCTTCAACTTCTTCCTTCAATACCATTGGTTCTTAATCATGTGCCACCTCCTGAAATGGATGAACATCAACCAATTCTTTTTGTTACAGTGACTTTGTGTATTCCTTCCATCTTCTGATGTTTTCATCAGTCAATATTTTGCCCATAGAATTTTTCAATATTGCAACTTGAGGCTTGAATTTTTCCTCCAGTTTTTTCAGCTTGAGAAATGCTGACCGTGTTCTTCTCTTTTGGTTTTCTAACTCCTTGTCTTTGCACATTTCATTATAATAATAGACTTTGTCTTCTCAAGCTGCCCTTTGAAATCTTCTGTCCAGTTCTTTTATCTTGTCATTTCTTCCATTTGCCTTAGACACTCTTCATTCAAGGGCAAGTTTCAGAGTCTCTTCTGACATCCATTTTGCTCTTTTCTTTTTTTCCTGTCTTTTTAATGACCTTTTGCTTTCTTCATGTAAGATGTTCTTAACTCATCCCACAATTCTTCTGGTTTTCAGTCATTGGTGTTCAATGCACGGAACCTATTTTTTTAGATGGTCTCTAAATTCAGGAGGGATATATTCAAGGTTATATTTTGGCTCTCATGCACTTGTTTTAATTATCTTCAACTTCAAGTTGAACTTGCACATGAGCAGTTGATAGTCTGTTCCACAATTGGCTCTGGACCTTGTTTTGGCTGAAAATATTGAGCTTTTCCATAGCCTCTTGCTACAGATATAGTCAATCTGATTCCTGTGCCCTAGTGAAGTCCACGTGTATAGCTATACCATCAGAGTTGTTAAAAAAGGTATTTGCAAGGAATAAGTCATTGATCTTGCAAAATTCTATCATGCAATCTCCAGCATCATTGAAACAGCGATGGCACAGACTCCAGCCTAGCAGAAACATGCAAGCCACCACAGTACAATACACTGACAGACAAGTTTGTCTCCCTTAGTTTCCTGCCTGACTCTCCCTCTTACCTATTATGGCCGTTGGCCAGCTGCCATTTCCTCCCTGGGGTCTCTCTCTCACTTAACCTGTTCCGGCCATTGGTCCTGGCTGGTGCTTTACCTTGCTCTAGAAGTTATTTGGGGTGTCTTCCTTCATGATTCACATTTGCAGTCTACAGATCACATTTTGAGGACCCAGCTCTTGACATTTTAATCCCCTGACCCTTCAGAATTAAATTAGTATTGATCAATTTTAAAAGAACTTTATATGTAGTACAGATCCTGCGAAGTCAAAACTATTAAATTACACAGCCCTTTTTGAGGCTTTTCTCAACTGAAGGGAACTCAGTTGAAAGGAAGAGTAAACACAATGAAGCTGGGAATGACAATATCATGCCAACAGGGCCACTCAAGGATAAAAAGAGAGAGCTAAGAAAGGGTGAGGGGAGGATATGAGGAAATTGGGTAAGAGACATAGAGAGGAAATCAGAGAAATGGCAGATGTTAGGAATAACTTTAATACGCAATGACTGCGAACCAGACATCAGAAAGGGGACTCAGGCAGGAGACTTACAGGGGAAGGTAAATGCTCTGTCAAAGGCAGTGGAATCCAGACTGTCCTTTCCCTGGGAGACAACAGTCTCTG